ACCCTAGGGTAAACTTAAGGGGGCTAACAAATTGTTTTGATCAACTTGGACCGAGCTAATTATGAACAAATCTAGTGAAAGAAATATTCACTCGTGTCACTGTACGAGATACTGCAACAGTAACCATAATAAAACATGAATACACTACATCACATTAAGTTTGGATGAATAGAATTGATGTTATGAAACTTGGAACTGCCCGAGCGTGTGTAAACTCATCTTCGCATTCAGTGTAAATGGAATAATGGAATGATATCCATCTCCCATTTGTGTGGGGAAATTAATGGACCTTGGTCACTGTTAAGATAGGGACAGGGACCAAATCTCAAGCTTGCTGTATAATAATGTAAGATATACGTGGCCATTTTCTTTCGTCAAGAAACCAATACAAAGAGAAACTTATGAAGCAAACGAAATTTAACTGCGACTCGACGCGCCTATCTATGAACGAAAAATAAGGCCCCATTATTTCCTTGTCTGGTTACAAAGGGTTCAAACGCTCTCAATAATTGAACTATTTGATTATCTCTCTGTCAGTTCTAAGTAACACAGATTAAGATATTAGTGAAAGTCAAAGTGTGTTACATACAAGTTTAAACTAAGCCATATTAAACCAAAATAAGGGCTAACTCGTCTTGTACATGCTGACATCCGTTGTCACTTTCAAATTGATGCAGACTCGGAGCCACCAAAAACGCTTCTCAATTTTTCAAGAAAACGTCTGAATTATCCCAATGAGTCCTTAAGTACCAGTTCAAAAAACGGTACAAGAGCACCAGATTTGGCTTGCATTTTGAAGCTCTTTCAATGAGATTTCACTTCTGAATTAACCTCAACTCTCATTATATTTGAATGGGCCGGAAGGTTCTGGTAAAAAGACCGATAGATTGGTATAAGTAAATTGCCAAACTAATTCATTTCAATAGCAGAGAAGTGGATCAAAACCATTATTTAGCTGAATTAGGAAAAGCACCAAAAGCCAAGAACTTACAATTGGGAGAAGCACTTGGCTCAGGTATAAGCTTTACACGCCAGGTTCTTACAACTGCAGGTAAGCATATTGCATATATATTACCTGCATGGATTGTAAGACCTAAATTGGGGCAAGAGAAATGCTGCAAAATGTACCAAAATGATGATGATGAACCCTGAATCAGAGTAATCAAAAGTATAATGCCTGGTCTACTTATAATGTGACTAATAGCCGCTGTACCATGGAATTGTATTGTTAGTCTTTTTGTGAAATTTGATGTTAATAAAATTATACCAAGAGCATATCATTCCACAGTCATTTATCTCCCCCAAAGTATTTGTCCTGATGCATTTTTATTTTTAAGATACCATTGAATAAGATTGGTTGCTGCACAATCAGGTTAACAAAAGTCTGTGCGCAATACAAGTGTAATGACTGTCTTCAAACTGACAGAGGGCGATAACCTCGTTCATCCGAAACCCGTGCGTCAAACAAAGTGCGATGACATCCTGCCAATACTAAAATTACCAAGACGAAACCTTATTCTGCAACTTGCTTCGCTTCGTTATCATATGACCCCTCACATTCCTCCTTTAATTCTTAATCATGGTACCTTGTCAGGGTCATTACCAAGATTTAAGCACGCAAATCGCCAACACTGAAAGAAAAGATCGGTATCATCTGAACAACAGCAACAATTAGGGACTTGTTTAAATGGCAGTTTGAACGTGGTGTGGAGTGATTTCCAGGAATGGCCTTTCAAAGCAAGGTAATTACCAGTAAATTGCTACTTACAGCCTCAAAGGTCCTATCCACCTCCTCATATTTACTTTCATATATGGGCCGTCCAGTGAGATTGAAACCAACATGAAATGGCGTCTACTAATTAAAATAAATGCACAATGTTCAGATTATTTGCAAACGGTCATATACACTCATGAAACTGCTGACAAATCATAGCCATTTATCATCGTTGAAGGAATGTTTGAAATTGCATTCAAATTCGTGCACCATAAGCAAATACGGAAAACCTTGGGAATCATCCAAGATTGCCCAAAGTTTTGCGACTAAGCGTGATATCAAGCAAAAGTACGCGGGATCAGAAATAATGGCAGACTAACGCATGCGTCGCGGCAACGAATAACGGATAAGAGTAGACAGAATTTATCCACGGCAGGGTTATTTTCCTGTTTTCTCTTTAGTTTTTTTAGAAAAATTTGAATCTATTGCACAATGGTACGAATCCAACGTATTTTGCACATCACTTTTGCATTGCTGCCTTAAATGAAATTCCTTCGCATAGAGTTTACCCTTATCATTGAATAACTAATCTCACCTCACGCGGATTCTCGCACGTGTTCTTGCCACGCAGTACCGACTGCCTAGTTTTGGAATGAATTCAATCGCACTGATCCAGCATTCCGCGGATTTAACGGCTTTGATAGAACGGAAACAAATGCCAACATTGAGCATTTACAATATCTTCATTATAGAATATCAGGAAAATATTACCTATTTATATAATCTGATACAGTTTGTCTTGACACACGTTCGATCGACTGAAAATTTCATTAAAATTCCTCCGTAACTTTATGCATAATGTTGATAACAGGCAACTAAAAAAATAACTAACTAATAATTAACCACTAATTAAGTAATGTATTAACATCAAAATCTTATCATTTTTAAGTAAGCCCATGTGTTACCTTCCGTCAAAATTTCAGCAAAATCCATCCACAACTTTTTGAGCTAAGAAAAATGCGTTTTTATGTTCACCCAACTTGATCACTTTTTAATCACCTGGTATGGTTTTATGGCTAATGTGAATTATCCTCACGTCTTCTTCAGTCTGTAACGTTAACCTGGTCCGACTGCCAATGCCAGTAAAAATTGGACCGGGCCAGTGAAATTTCTGAAAAATAGTCACTGGATTTTTTAGCTGTAACATGTACTACAATTCGTTTAATAAAAGTTAGGCTAAATGCCTCATATCTTTTGAAACCCCATGTTTTTGTTCTCATTTGTAATATGAAGCGTGTTAAGTTTCTGTGGATTATTATAGGTAAAAATTTTTGAAAACTGGACTTGGGCCAGTGAATTACGATTCAGGCCAGTAGATCCTCAGACCTTGGTGGCCTGGATTGCCTGTAAGTTGAAAAGTATTTGGCGCAGACTGTTTCTTAATCACTTACGCTTGTGCGGATCTTTAATATACTAAAATCAGCTTGACCCTGAATAAGCATATCGGCTGGATAATAGTTGGCAACGGAGCAAAGCACCAGATATGCCAATATAATCGCATGTTCTAATTAATCTCTATACAATGTATAAATACTGAGCGAAAATATAAACGCCCCATGTGAATTATTTAAGTAATGGGTTACGGAGAGTTTTCTGTAACACATTAAAGAGCAAAATCCACTTTGTATGATTTAAAAAATATAGATTATAACCCATAATGCCGATAATTATTTTAAGTATTGCATGAGGGTTTATATTTTTGCTCAGTATATATTACTTCAGTAGGATGGTATTCAATAAAGAAATGCATTTTTAGGCAATCAAATAAAGATAAGGTGGGATAGTTACAAACAGCGGGTTGTGAAGAAAGAGGTGGATCAAAGATTTACAGTGGGGAGGTGATTGTTTTCGTCTTGATTTTCTCCTCTCGTTTTCGTGCATTTTTGCAAAAGCTAATACCAAGGGTATTTACGCAACTAACCCCGTCACATGCAGGATGGGATGTCTTTACTCCCTGTCAGTTGACAGCTCCGTTATGGCGTCATTTCTGTACTAAAATTCTCGCTGTACAAAAATGTGCTCAGAATTGACCAGGGAAACATGTATAAGTGTCTGTGAAAAGTAAAATCCTCGACGGTCCCGGTGTGACAGGAACGGTAGTCTGTTAGGAACCGTAGTCCGTTAACCCATTAATTTATACAGGTGACATTCGTCCCATATACTAACTCCAGTATTACAACTAACCTTAACCTTTTCTCAGCATATGTTACCCCGGACTTCCATTCCTAGTTCTACCATTCCTGTCCCACCGGTAGAGTGTGGGATGGAATTATAAAAGAAACAAAACGCTTATTTTCGGTCTACTTTTTCGTAGTGATTTAGATAAAATAGTTCGCTTTAACTGTGCACACGTACATTTTCATCTGCACATGTTACGAAAAAGATTTTATATGTGATAGAAATCCCTCGGTCTCCGGATGACGGGTTCGGTTTGAGTTTGAGATACTCTCAAAGCGGTGAACTCCACCAATTTTTGGAACTCGGAATGCTGACTGATGAAGTATCTGTAAATCTTCACGCCAGCTAAACAAAATGTGTAGGCGGGGGCTGCTTATTGCATTTATTTGATTTCTACAGAGAGACCCTCTAAATCCATCTGATGTTGATATTGTCTTAGATTTCATCAGATTTGTAGTTCAGGATGTAGTATGACCATATCTGTAAGGAGGGAAATTAACAGTCCGCCTCAAAAACATTGGAATGCAGGATGACATCAAAGCCTTTCAAGAGATCCATTGTAATGAAAACGTAACCCATAGTTAAGGTTATATACACCAACATCAAGACACTGAGGCAAATAAGTCCAGGAGAATCGAGTTGTCTGATCATTTCTGGTTTTCCAGTTGGCAAGGCTGAAGAGAGGCTCAGCCGCAGTGACCACAGTATAAAATCCATATGTTTCATGAATTATACGCACCAATTGAGATATCAAATAACCTTAAATCTTCAAAGCTGTCTTTCCATTCCCAAGGGATCGATCATCCCTAATTTTGGAGTTTGTCAACTAGAAAATACATTTATTGGAGAATCGGACGTTAGGGTAACGGAACGGGTATGACATAAGGAGACCTAAAAGGTTGATACCCTTATTTATATCGTCATGTGTGTGTGTGTGTGTGTGTGTGTGTGTGTGTGTGTGTTATATATAAAGATATATATAAAGTAAAGATTATAATATAAATAAAATACCGTGATTGTTTTATTTTAGTAAATTTTATTTATTCACTATTATATTTAAAGTATTTAAATGTACGTGCAGTGCCAGCAAAAGCGTCCTTCGCAATTGTAAAAGGAAGCAACTGTTAGAACCTTATTACATTTTATGAATATAAATAATTGTAATTTCTAAGCGTGTGTCTAGCCTGAGAAATTTGACACATCTAATTACCAAGATCTCATATCCTCTTGATAAACTACAACGCAGTTTCCCAAGCTTAACTGATATGTCCTTGGTGTTTTTGTCTTAAACTGATCACGTGGACGGGGTGTGTCGCTTATGTACATAAAAGGAGGGAAAAAAATTGCAATGATTTCCCATTCCCTTGCCCGATTTCCTGTGTCCGACAGTGAAAAACGCACGTTTTAACAAAATTTAACCATTATTTACAAATAACAGTGAGCTCAGTACAACACTAGTAGGCCTTCTGTACAGTATTCCTTGAGGCCAGTAACCTTAAAACCAGAGGATGTTTTCTGACAAACTTTTTCAAGTGGGCACATTTTATTTTTTTGCAACTTTTCCTTACTTAAGGGACCATACGCTTAATTGCAATTCCTTTTTTATGGAGTGATAATAGATAAACATTCTCCTGACCCAAGTAAAACTAGCTGCAGTTCTGTGCCTCCGTACGCTTCAGGTCTACAGGGCGACATGAAGCCCCTTTTCAATTGGATCTCATCTTCAATGTCCCTTCAGTTCAGCTCTATGAAAAAAAAAACAGTTAGGTCCCGACTGACCTCCTTGATATCGACACCTCTTGCCCGTTGGTCAGTACCAGCTCCCCCCGACTGATGACCTCCACCGTTTGGCCACTGGCCGTTTCTTCTACCTCAATTTCCTCGTGCTCCTCCAAAATGGCCGTGCGTTCTGGGCAGTAGCCGGACTTAATATCGAAGTTGCCGAACTGGCAAGGCGGCGTGTAGCAATCCCGTCGCTTGATGCACCTTAAAAGATAGGAAAGATAGGAAAATTTTGCTTGTTATGAAGAAAAGCTGAAAATCGGGATTTTTTTACCTTCTTGTCAACAATAAACATTCAAAGGACGTAGTCAAATAAAAAACGTTCCAATATGATAGCATGATGAATTACCAAGACTTATTTTATCAAAAATTGCAAATGAATATTAAATTGGTGTGCGACCGGTCTTGTATACATGAATCTTTAATACAATGCGGTTCGCCATAAGCTTTCCCTTCAGTGTGTTGTATGTAAGGCAAAACACTCACGACAACTGATTTTCTTCGAGAGGTTTCTTTCCCCTGCTTATTCTTTTACACTCCCTTGCTCCATCACGGCATTGGCAGTCACACTGGTCAACAGCAACGTGATTGCGTCGCAGAACGAATGGGCGCGGGCACTTCTTACAACTAAAAGAAAATGAGAAAATTATCAAAACAGAGGAATTTCGTCGGACGCTCGAAAATCAAATCAGTTTATAAGATTCCAAACTTATCGAAGCATGTTTTATTTGGAAGGATTTGATTTGATCTGATTACATAAACCTAGGCCAATATTGATTAAATTTTTGATCTATTCAAGAGCAGCAGTGCCTTTTGAATTGATATTTTTAAAACAATCCTGCCATATGATGAAAACGAACACAAGGAAAGAAATTATAATGGACTTGTGATAAAAAAGCCTATAATTCCGAAAGATTTCGTAATGAAATCAGTACATGAAATTAGGTTGAATTATACATATATCAGTTTGCGACATCAAACACGCAGCTTATCCGCAAATGAGATTAATCCCATAATCCCCTCCGCATAGGTTCTTTTCACAATTATTTTTAATCAGTGAATTATATATAGGCCTACTTCCTTTCTTGATTAACACGTACGTACTTAAGCCTGACACATTAATTATAAATCTCCATCATTTGGATGCCTCAGCACGTTGGACAACATGTGTTAATTACATATTCAGACATGGGGGAAAACCTTGAAGATACTGAAGGTCAAGATGACCAGCACCACAAGATACCTGCAGTTCTTCCCAATTTTTTGCTTGTTTGAACTAATTCTTTCATTTCTGTGAGGCTATGTTTATATGCGATTTGTTATTCTGCATTGCATTTCACAGAAACTTTGCTCAGTCCCGATGACCTGTGATGTTAAAATTTTTGCGGTTTTTTTTTTTTTTTTTTTTTTTTTTTTTTTTTTTTTTTTTTTTTTTTTTTTTTTTTTTTTTTTGTATTTCAAGCAGTCATGATTAGTCTGGCAGGCAATTTCCCGATGGCTGCATATTTCTCCATCTGTGTATGAATGTAATATGTACGAGTAGGCTCCTACATTAAGAAATAATTCAAACAGTACTGTGTATTGCTTTTTAATTATCAAATGATAGTGGGAATTTTTATTTCTCAAATGTTGGAACGGTGTGAAATAGGAATCCTCATGTCGTTGGTTCATATCCGGCTCACAATACACATCATCATTTACTACTTTTTTATAATTAAAACTATAGATCGCTACTTGTGCAACGAAGCCGTCTATCATTGCAACGTGCAGCGAAATCGGTCATCAGCAGTGCGGTTGTGCACGTTCAACAACTAACACATTCTGCATCGGAACACCTATCGCAATCTTAAAACTACCATCAGTGTTAAGTTAAAAAGTAACCATCCAGTTTGAATTTGAACAATAAGTTTGGCATAGGGGAAGTCAGGGTCGAAAGACTCACCACTCCCACACTTTTACAAAAAATGAAAGAGACAGATACAACCCTCGTTTTGTACCAAAAGGGAAGGGTAGAAAAACAATCAGGCGCACAGAAGCAATACGACAAATCGTGCCATGTCAGTTTTTTCGGTCAATTAAATCCCGCGGGTGTAAGTCCCCCGCCCCCTTCATTTTAATATCCTATATATCCTAAGGTTAACTGAACTCACCTCGGCAGTGTCTTTATAGGTATGCATCCACACTCCGTGTGGTTTTCAAATGTCAAGGTTTCCACCCAAGGAATATGGAACGTATACTCCCTTTCCAGTCCAACTACCTGGAATACAGGAGAGTTACAAGTATAAAAGGCCCATTTTCTGAAATTCGGGAACACTAAGTGTATGCCACCTACCCTGAAATATTACATGTGTAGCAACCGTCCAGCCCCCCTTGTAGAAATGTAGAAACATTGAACATTGTATTTTTACATGATCCTGCAACTTTCTCTAGCCCGAAAACAGGAACGCGATTTGACATATTTATTGTGGATAAAAAACATCTGGCGGCCACTTAAAAATATAATAGTACCCAAACTGCAAAATAAGTCGAATGACGTAAACGTGAGTTATGTACTTCTAACTATAATTCAACGTTTCTTAATCATTTTGAAGTCAAGCCAACGGTTTATCAGAGTATAAAAAAAGATGACATCTGTATTCTGCACCAAAATGTTTACTGCCAATAGACGGGCCACCTGTGAAGCAGGAAGTTCCTATTTAACGGTGCCTTGGCGGAAACTGAAAAGCTTTCAGCAGGATTCCCCATTATAGTAACTTCGGTACTCAAAAGTTTTTAACCTTTTTTATTCAGAGGAAACTTTCAAGAAAAAGAAGAGAGAGAAAAAAGGCCGCATTATGTAATTTCATGTGCTTTGCACCTCCAAGATTATTTTCAGTGAGTTCATGAATTGCATTAACTGCCATGTTTAACATCTTCATAAATGACAATTTATAATTTAAAGGAAAAAATGAGTCAGTGCAAGTGCACTATTCAAACAAACCGGTTTCTTACATTATGAATCCGAGCATCAGATAACTCGTTGAGTCAAACTGGGAGATATTAAGGATACGGTCAGGGTTAGCCAAAAAAAAACTCCCTATTTACTGACTTATATTCATTTTTGGATAGTAGATAAATCTTCATAATTGCGATTTTGGGCTAAAAAAAGGGAAATCGGTTTCTCAAATTTCTCATTAACCTGAGCACCCACGAACATGATAGCTCAGTTGGCAGATCGGAGGACCGTAGAGGAGAAATTGAAATCCTTAGGTCGCTGGTTCAAATCCTGCTAAGGAGAAACTTTTGTAAAGACATGGCATCGAAAATCAGCTTTCAATACAAGTCAAAGTTCCAGCCACCTACCACTACAGTCTTTTGTCACACTGGTTATGTTTAAGAGAGCGTTTATTGGTTAATTTGTAAGCACGCAGATCGACACGATTTCAGACATGCCTCTTTTCGTACAATAAAAGTCTAGTTTCCGAATAAAATGATTATCATACACTGAAACGGTTTTTATATCACTTCCTCTTTATCTTTTATTTTGCGCACATGTTTAAACACACAACAGTATGTGTCACTCAAGTTCTACAGTGTATGAGAATACATTTTCATAAAGATTAGGTGGGTGAGTGGTGGCGACTAATAAAGCAACTGCACTGGATCCGCTTCGATAGTCCGATCATAAGTACACAAAGAGGCAGTTTCCAAATTTCTTATATATTAAAAATTAAAATTTTCATAAAAATGCGTGTTCCATACTCATAAAAAATAGTGTTACTCACATAAAACGCCCTTGTAATATTTTTCTTCCTCTTGGGTCCGCATTGTGAGGATGCCGTGCAGCAACCAGCTTCCCTGCGACACCTGTAAACCACGGTGCAGTCCGGGATATAAGCCTTGTGAGGGTTGGTGTTGATTTTGTTGATTTTGATCACCTCAGCGATGGGCGTGGAGCAGGAGACAGGCGCCGAGTGCACCTCCCGATAGTGTTCGTATGCGGCTTTCAGGTCTGGGGATAAAGAAGTATTTGTTGGACTTAAAATATAGTGTTGATTTACACTGCGTATGGATTGTAACATCGGTCCTTACCTCATGGATTGTTTCAGTATGGTCTATATGAAAAAACTTTTGACCAGTGAATCTGCTCTGACGATCATTCGAATTAATTGCACTTGCTTATAACCTGTTGATAATGCTTAAAAAATAGTGCATGAATTTCAGAAAAGTCTCTATTTCAGAAAAGTGCAAAAGAAGAAGATAAAACAGCCAAAAGGTACATGTATATTAACAGAATTCATTTTCGTGTGCAAATACCTGCTGAGTTTAATTTATGAGCCTCGTGGTCTGACCCAATGTCGTTCACCGTTTCTATCCCAAGACCGTGTCTCAGTTTTACCGTCACGTGCTCCTGAGATTTTCCCGTCAACATGTCTTGAATCTCCCTATTGGACAGGTCGTCTCCAAGGAATATTCTGATGACGTCATGATACGATTTCGTCTCTTTCATTTTCGCCATCAGATCAGAAATTTTAATTGGAAGAACAAATCTATCCTTAAAAAAAAGATCAAACATCGATATATATTTATGACTTCGACGATGCATCTTAAAACTATCCACATGTATAACGCATTTATCATATATCATTTATCATATTTATCAATACAATGCACTGTATTTTAGTAATATAGAATATATTTATCCATTTACGAATATAAAAATTCATCTTTCATTGACGACGTTGAATTTACTTTCTGCACTACATGAAATATTCCATTGGCGACGGTAATGAGATTTACAATAATCAAACCATACTGTTCTTTTTATAATACTCGTGTCGTATGTTTTCTTCGAAGGAATCTCACACAAGTTTATTATTAAATTATTTATTTGTTCATAAATTTATTTATCTTTTTTGTGAAGATATTATAGGACGTATTGTTTATACAGGGTGGGACACAATAAGAGGGACAAAAGACCCATATTTTCTAGAGAAATAATTGTTTCTTTTTCTTTTTCAGGTGAGTTACAGATCAGGCCTGTAAGTTTTATCTGATACCAAGATGGGCCACTACGAGAATTTTTCGGTGAAAGAAAGGTCAAAGATAGTGGAACTGTATTTTGCAACAAAATTACCTACTCTTGTTCGGAGGTTATTTCGACGTGAATATTCTGGGACGAAAACTCCACATTGCCATACGATCACATGTTTTTTTGAAAAGTTTAGAAACACTGGAGGTGTGATTAACAATAACAAAGGTCATTGTGGCCAAAAGTTCACAGCAAGGACGCCGGCTCGTGGTCAAGATGTCAAGGGCCGGTTGGAACAGTCGTCCTGCAAGTCCACAGGGCGTCTGCCACATCAAGTGGGTATTTCTTGTTGGCTTGAGTTTTAGGTTGAAGAATCTGCATTTTGTAGGTAACAGTTTCAATCATTGTGGATAATTCCCCGCACAGATTTCAGGGAACGATGGGAAATCTCATTGGTGATGTGTTTGTGCAAAAAAAAAATGCCCCCCAAAATCTTTGGTTCTAGGTGAACAAACGTTCTGACGTCCCTGTAGCTTGAGGTTAGTTACGAACACTATTATGCTTTTAACGTTAATTCCCCGTAACGAACCGTTGCAAAATATTTGGTGTCGCTGGTATCATATTTCTTTGACTGTGCAACATGGAGTCTTCGACGATAATGTGCCCTTTAATCTCTTTTTAGGTTGCTTATGTAAAATCAAGGAGGAGACGTTCTGAGAAGGGACTAAAATTTCAAAACATGGTGGTAACTTTTACCTTAAATTTGGGTCTGTAGTAGTAATATTTACAGCTAGATTTTAAAAGCATTTTATGCATGTCACATGAAACAGGATTTTGTTCGACAGGGAGGGTGCGTTATGAAATAAACAGTTGCCTAACAAATGCGCTAGCCAGAAACAATATTAATAGTCTCTTTTTTTACACATTTTTGCTTTTGAAAGTTAAAACGGTAAAATGGGGATCAGCTTAGCCTAGTGAAAATAAGCGGAAACGCTGCCCACGAAGCTGTTGCAAGAATATTTCATTTGATTATTACACCCCAAATAGTTTGGTTTTCACAAGCAGCTCGATAAAGAGTTAGATGTCATATTCAGAAAAGTTTGAAATACAAAAAACGATATTTAATGACGCCTGCGCGATACCATTCACACTGCTAAAGAACTTTTTTAATTTCTCCCAGGCAAATGTAGACTTTTAACTTTCAAAGGAAACAAACGGTTTTTTAAAACTTTTATACTATCGCTACAACTCTTTTAAATAGTAAAAAAATAAAGATTTTAACAATAACTCTCAATCTTTTTTTTACTTCTGCCTGCATTGTTTTGTACTATATTTTATTCATGTATTTGATCTTTACCTAAACCCGAGACGGTAAAACAATTTCTGTTTTATGTGTATCTTATAATATATATGTGCAATGGATGAATAAACTTTATTATTACGGTTCGTCACGTTCTCCAGAAACCTGGTGCCACCGATAACATCGTCGCGTCTCGGAATTGTGATCACTAATCTACTGTGAAATCATAACCCTTCCTCCCAACCCTTCCAAAAGTTATACAATAATAGGGGAAGTAAAAAAGAATATGAGCTTATGACTCAAAGTTCGAAAAGAATGCTGCTCGCTTTGTTGCCAGACATGCGGACAGCAGGGCGGACGGACACAATGACAGACAGACAGACAGACAGACAGACAGAAAACGTAATGACAAAAGAATTTCCCGATACACTTCTAACGTCTAAGTTATGGCCTTTGGCCTGCCAAGCAATAGTTTCTCGACAGCTCTCTCCTTTGATCATTCAGTCTTGCGACATTTTAGAAAAACCTTTAATGCCAATGTAAACAGTACGGAGCAAAGAACAAACTTTATGCCTGTGATAGAAAAGACACGGTGAAATGAAACACTCTCCGCGAAATGCCCTCTTTCTGGGTACGAAAGCGTGCAAAGTTAGCCATATGTAGGTATACGTCACTTAATAGAGACAAAACTGATAAAACGTCTCAACTCGGATGATCCATAAGATATCAATTTTTACATGTAAATATCTGCGTGACCCACAGTCATATGGTCAAACACTACTGGAATGAATTGAAAAAGCATAGAGACAACGTTTGAACATTGAACTTCAAGTGAAATTTTAATCTGTTTGAAAAAGAGCCAATTTTTTTCTAGTAAAAAAACTTACTCGTCAAAGTTTACGAAAGTACGAAGGCGTCTTAATGTCATCAACAGCTCTTTAAGTTATTCCCCGTATCCCCTCAATATTAATCCTACATACAGCAATTAAGGAATCGTTTAAAGAGCTCGATTTGTTATTCAAGTCGCGTTGCGTAAAACAGGAAATACCAATGACAGCAGTAAAATACGAGTACGAATAGCATTATTTCTGGGTCGTGTGCTATTTAAAGGGCAAACATTAACAGGCCTTCACTCATACCCTGCCTCGTCAACACACATTGATCTCGGACCACATAAGATCGAACCCAATGGTACGATATGAAGTACTGCTTGCAAATGAAGACCAATTAATAAATATTCTATTTTTAACAGCAAGAAGACCGCTGGAAGAGAGTCAATACACTGATGACCACACTAGTGAGCAAGAGAAAAGTGTGCGCAGCAGAATAGTGTAACGCACTCTGCGAATAGGCCCAAACTTATCTTAAATTAGTTATCTATGCTGCAGGTGCTCTTTGTGGTAGGTATTGCTCATTTTTCTTCGCTGGAGACAAATTTAACTCTTGTACAAACAAAACTTACTGTGAGGTTACTTTAATTAGACTGATGAACCGATAACATATTTTTCCCCTATAAAACATTTTCTATCTATCTGCTGAGGGTATAGTATAAGACCCCATTCCCAGAGATTAGATCGATCTACTTTAGATCGACCTAACTCCTTGGGGGTTCACGCTAAATTGCAGTCAGCCGACCGCGCACAGAAGTTAATTACCCCCTTACAGCTTGTAGTAGGCGGGACGGACATTTAAGCCGGATTATCTGACAGTAATCTAGTGAGACTCCCCACGGGGATAGATCGATTTAAAATCTATGGGAAAGCGCCCTAAGAGAACCAGTGACGAAACGAGTGAGAGAGATAAAATCTAAAAGCCATATAAATATATACAAATAGTATAAGCTAAGCAACACATCTTTGATTACATTACAGAAACTCTTATGTTGTGTGTTGCATCATCTTATATTCTAACTATTTTTACATGCGCTAGATTTGTTAAATAGGCAACGCCTTCGCCTATTCAGTGACACATTGACGGAGACGAACGAGGCAGGCAGCTTGTTCTTATCGTATCAGGTCTGAATTAGAAACGGGCTAGTAAAATGGGTGTAAACGGAACTTACGAGCGATTGTGCTTTGAAGGGCGTAACTCTTTTATCCGTGATGCTGGTTTCATTATCATTTTCAATGCTGTGTAAGTGTTGCTCGATAAGTGCCAATCGCAGAAAACATATGTTCATTGCTTATCAGGTACGCCAAGCACCACAGTGTATTTGTCGCATATATATAAATACACATGAGCATCCCAAAGCTTAGTAATGATTTACACTGACGGTGTAATTTTTATTGAATCATCGGTCCCAATTTTACCCTACAAGACAAAACTATCAATCAGATTAGGGAATGATATTTCAATCATCTTGACCCCCCCCCCCCCCTTCCCGGTTCGTTCATTTTTCTGTAGGGTTACCCATGGTTGAATTGTTGTAGGTTTCCAAGACAAAAGAGACTCTGGAGGGAAATTCTGAGTTGTTTCAGAAAAGAACAGTCAACAATACAGGCCTTTATGCACTTAAAATACGATCTACAGCAAAAGGTTGAATACGTCCGTCTTTGAACTTTGAAATGCTGTACATGCTAAATTTAGAGTTGTAAGTAAAATAAAAGCTTACCATTGAGGAGTACCCCGGTGCGAAATCATTAGGAAAATGCCTCTTAGTAAAACCGTCCAAAGCATGTGCCTTCAACAGATTTGATTTAACTGCGCTCTTTGACATCTTATCCGCTTTGCTGTTACAACCAGTGTTTGAAGTCAGACAGGCAATATAACATCCCAAGAGCAGTCTACTAGCATAGACGTAATTGTGACTCATGCTTATCCTTGTATCTCTAAGGATGCTGATAATAAGATGATTCCACCGTGATGTCCACTAAAAAATTCACGAGGCAGGTGCCTTTCTACCCCAATGAGCCTTCGATTTCTTCGCTCTTTATCAGCGCTATGACAGCAAAAATCCCCATTTAAACGTGTTTTCCTAGTATCTGTTCCTCTTTAGTGAAGAAGGATATTCCTTAGCTTAGTAGTCACTTGTTTTGTGTCACTTGACGTGACTCACAGAGGCTGTCAAAAATGTGTGTACAACCTATTTCGCCGCAGGAAGCATCGTAGTTTCTTTACTGTAAACAGAGATTGGATATTTCGATTTCACATTTAAGAAATACTATAGGGCAGGGAGAAAAGCCAAGCAGCATGAAAGGAATAAAAAATGATCGAGTGAGAGGGAGAAGAGGGAGAATGACACACTCCGGGGGGTGGGGGTGGAGAGAAAATTGATAGGATGATTCAAGCTATATTTCACACAGAAGTGACCTAGTTCTGCTGACTTACATCAACAGTTACGTATACACCAATAACCGACACTCGAAGAACAAGCCAAACCGAGTAAAGCACTTGAATTAATTCACGATACTGTTTTCTTTTTATTAGTTTAAATCAATTTGATAAATCGATAAACATACTTGCGCTATGCCAAATATTCATAAAATTATTTATTTATTTATTTATTTATTTATTTATTTATTTATTTATTTATTTACAATGTATATTTTTCATTTATCTGTATTAACGTATTTATCTATTTATCTTAATTTTTATATTTTTGAATGGATAAATGAAAGTCGGCTGATGAACAAAGACGCTATCATATTAATCAGATGAATAGATTAATCAGTTTGTCAACCGGTCAGTCAATCACTAAAAAACAATGAACAAACTGGGTAGCTTTGGGGAATTAAACTGCATAAATGCGTACCTTTCAAATCATTGTAACCCGTATAAGAGCTGAGCTACACAATAATTAAAAGAACAATTAGAAAAAATGTTGAATAAATTAACAAGATATTTTAAGATTTTTTTAAAAAGAAGAGACTGTTTATCATCATTGTTGGCATCCTGTCTCTTTCTTTAACCCTAGGGGTTAAACATTTGATCAAATTTGGCTTTAACCTCTCCACAATTTGACACTGTGTCAGCCTCTGTCACTTTCAATTAGCGACTGAACACTCTTTAAGAGCATAAACGTTCAAGCTCCGTGGTGGGGCCCTTGAAACTATTAACGTTTGCCGAAGTAAGTGGTCAAGTGTTGTTTACACTAGAATGGACAATTAAATCCACAGCTACTTTTTAAATCGAGAGAATGCCACCATGATGAAATGAATACTGATATTTAACCTCGAGTATTTTTCTAACGGTCTCGCAGCAGCAGACAGCCTACGAACATGATAGTGTGGTGTCCCGCCACAAAATAGGGAGCATAGAGGTTGAACGCATGCCAGAACTATTTCGGATATTCACCCATCACGAAAATCTGAGACAAAATCAAGATTTATGAAAATGTGCTTCACTTCAAAAGAAAATATAATAAAAAAAATACATTTTAATATGTTTAAAAGTGATTTTTATTTTTATTTTTCAAAACAACGACACACACGTGCAAGAGAGAGAGAACAATACAATTATGAAAAGATTGAGTAGGGGACAGTACATATAGATCAGAGAGAGAAGAAGGAGAAGGAGAGTGAGTGAGAAAGAGATGGAGAGAGGGGAGTTAGAGGAGAAACTAGCAGCACCAGTCCATAAAAACAAACGTTAGTCAACCATTGTGACGGTAACCGCTATTAACCTGTCAACTTGATTTAAAAATGTGTTTTGTGTACTTAAACGCACGCGCACGTAAGAGAAAAACAAGAGCAAGTGCGATAAAAAAAGAGGGGACTGTATAAAAAGGACAACATTGATGGTGTTACTGTATTTCGTCATAGAGCGCATTTCTATTGAAGCGGTTGGTCTTCGTCGATCGATCCAACTCCGCAGGGACTCTTGCTAATTGCAATCAATTTATTAACAAACCAACACCGTAACACGCCTCATCTCGTTTATAACGTACTCGTATAATCACCAGCTTTTCTGTATCCTACTCAACGCTAGGAGGGGGCATGTTAAATTGACTGGATTTAGTGAGAGTTCCCGCGGAGTTGGATCAATCTTCGTAGACCGATAGTTAAATGGGAATGAGCCCATGGTAAGACAGAGAGGTAAAGGGAGGGGCGGGAAAATAAGCAATTTAACCTAGAATAATAAAACATAATCAACCGTTGTCCCATTAATCGCTATTGCATGAGATCTTAATGGAACTTTCCTATCGCCGTTAAGCGGGAGGCTTGTCTAGCAGTCGATATAGCACACGTCAGAGGCGACAGATTGTACGTCGAAACCAACGACTACGATTTCCTGACAAGTTAACTTATCACCAAAGGACGTCTCAGAATAAAAGACATTAAATTCCGATATCGTTAAGTGATATGCAGGGCTTTATTTCAGCGAAGATACTTGTACAGTGTTACGCATGACGTTAACCGCATGACAAAAAATGAATTATAGATCTGTTTTAGAGATCACGCATATCAGTCTCTTATATGGCAAATCGAGATAGTTGATAATAAAGAAGGCTGGTTCTTCTTTAGGAAATCTTTCGACAAGTGTTTGTTTGGCAGATGTAACGCTATAGCTACTGGCGCTGTCTGCCAAATGCTAACAACCTGAAATACAAATAGAAAGAATACTTTCACGACAGCTAATAATTGAGTTTGTGCGATTGCATATATAGAGAGAAAAGGATAAATCATGACGTGAGATTGAATAACTGCGCATGCGGGTGAAATATGCGGAAATCTTTTTAAAATACATCATTTTGAAACTCTTGTGCATTTTCAAAAATATTGGTCTAAAGAAAACCCACGAACAGGAAAGAGAAGAGACGATTAGCGCAAGAGAAAAAAACTAAACAAAATCTAAGACCTTTTTCTGCATCTGTGCGATCCTTAGGGTGCATTCCCAGAGATTTAGATCGATCCAGAGATTTAGATTTATATCGACCTATCTCCCTAGGGGTTCACGCTAAATTGCAGTCAGCCGAGCGCGCACCATAGTTAATTACCCCCTTACAGCTTTTAGTAGGCTGGACAGACGCTTAAGCCGGCTAAGCCGACAGTAATCTAGTGAGACAGGGATAGATCGATCTAAAATCTATGGGAATGGGGTCTAAGAACACGCTGACAGGAAAGGGTAAAGACGGGGGGGGGGGGGTAAAAAGGCACAAAATGATAGAAAACCAACTAAAAAGTTATGTTTAGTAAGATTTCTCTTACGTCCAGCGAAAGTGAGACTGTAATCTTGGCCTTGTTGGTTGCAACGGTAACGGAACGACCCTTCACAGAAGGTTTTTCCTGCTTGAACAAGGACTCTTTCCCCGTCTTGTCCCCTCAGACAGCCTGTGAAAAGAAGGAAACTTTAAAAAAAAAAGAATTTTGACACAAATGATAATGTCTCCCTCAATGATGTAGGTTGAATTCTATCAAAGTGAAGGTTTGTATTTTTAATTCCAAAAGATGTTTTTTTTCTCTATGAAGATGACTGAAAGTCACCGAAATAGAATCGTGGGTTATAATTAAATCCTTCCAGGGAAATATTCTTATAAAACTCCTGGGGTCATTTTTTAATAGTGTATTTGTCCTTCTATATTGCATTCCTCACAACTGAATGATTGCAGACACAATAATGCCTAAAACGAAGCATGAGGAAAAAACAAAGTCAAATGATACTACAAGTATTAACCGTCTCCATATAAAACTCTTTACGAATAGCTTATTGATTGTGATATTTTACATAATTTCTTTGAATGTCTTCTAGCAGGGATTTGATTCGTACCTTTAAAAACGATTCGTCCGCGTTCACATCCCAGTCGGAACCATCCGTTAAGTCTCTGGGTGTCCCACTGGTCTCCGTCCTTCTTGCCGTTTGTACACTCTCACATAAAATAAAATAAAACGAGGCACATAGAAATAAAATGAAATATAACGAGGTACATGGAACAGGTAAAAAAAAAGGAAAAATAATTCCTGCAATCTTTATGTAAGCATAAAAAGATCTTTAAAGGGTTAAAAGATGGGGCACTAAAATAAATCCTATCACTACAACAAAGAAAATAACTACTGCAAACTTTATGTAAGCAGAAAAACATATTTAAAGGGTTAAGAGATAGGGCACTGAAAAAAATCTGATCACTACGGCCTTCCTTAAGTCTTGTTATTTATTTTATCAGAGTATGGTACCCGTTTAGTATTCCTGTATAAATAGAGAAGCTGGTAAAAAGCTTGTGTAGTTTACCTCCACTTTCCCTTGCGGTGGTGACCGCAATAAATGAAAGGAGAAGCCCAAAAACCAACTGAAATTATTCAAATAATAATGTCTTTTTTTTTTCATTAATAGATTTTTCTTCTATCCAACTGAAATAGCTATCCGCGTTACGCATTTTCAAATAGATACTTCCTTACGAACAATTTATTTAGGTTCACAAAATTTCTTTCCCTCGACAAAAATCAAATTATTCTTTGTTACTTCAGTCAAGTATTCCTTAAGAAATACTGAAATCAAACTCACCAGTGTGTTCATAGCGCGCTTGGATGAATCGCTGTTGACAACTTTCGTAAACGTTATCAAATTTTGTTTTTATACTGATTGACAAAAATTGCAATGTAGATATATCATTTCCCGTAATGATTTACATGGTTAATAAAGCGTTCAGTAATAAAAAGAGGATATTACATGCATTTATCCGACACACTGAATAAGAAGAGGATATTGCAATAGAACATTAATTCAATGTGAAGTTCCGTCCGGGAATAAGAGCAACGTGCCATTTTCTGTTCTACAAGTGGAACGTGTCCTCGCTATATTATATCACTTTTCATAACTTATAAGCACTTCTTCCTTACTTAATTTAATAACACAATCTTTAGCGCACTGCCTCTGCCAACTTGCATGCCTTTAATATAATGAGTAATACGTATCATTTTCCAATGATGACTTTCATAATTTTATCAATATTTCTTTTTTCGAGGAACGGCATAAAATCCAATTTTTACCACAGTATAGAGTGTGAAATCACATTTTCAAGTGAAATAGATGAAAAGAAAAATGTATCTCGCGAGCCGGATTTGAACCAGCGACCTAAGGATAGCTATGCATTGCCACTACAGTCCTCCGCTCTACCAACTGAGCTATCGCGAGTTATGGAAAGAACTTACTGAATTTTTAGCCAGGTCGTCAATAAACAATATGCTGTTTATTTCCGGATTTTTGGCCTGCATCGATTTTCCTTCGTCTTTTACCATTCCTGACTTTCATAATTTATTTAGTAGCGATTCCGACTATTTCACGTGCCCAGCCTGCCATTACAGTGTATCTCTACATGTGTCTTTAAAACGCCATATCATAGCCTACGGCTGGTAAAAAATGTGAACCTGGGTTATGTTGGTAGCCAGGCATAGTTATATAAAAGCAAAAAAAAAAAAAACACCAAAATTACAGAAGCCGACTGGTGTCATGTTAAAAAAATTATTATCTCGATATTTCGAGGTAGCTATGTCAAAATTTGGACAAAAAAATATATATTGTCTCGAAATTCGAGATAGCTATGTCGAAATTCGAGATAATAATTTTTGTTAACATGACACCAGTCGGCTTCCGTAAAAAATTAATTGTGTCCAGATTGAAAAAAAAAGAAAATATTTATAATTGGGTACTTATTATGTAATTTGATTGATGTTTAATAAGTTGAAAAACATCAGAGATGTAAAATGTAATTTGTAAGAGGATCGAGGTAATAGTAACGGAAATTATACTGCTTATATAGCGGTGATAACAGAAATTCAATAAAGTCCTTTCAGCCAGTAATCAGAGAAATATGAGTATACCCGTATCTAATGGCACATTAAACAAATAAATGCCCAGTGAGGTACTAGTAAATGCGATTTGATCACGTTTCGATGTGCTCCATTGGAAACCTGGGCAGGCAGCAGAGAGTCATGTAGGCCCTACTTACTGTTAGAAAAGATGGGGTTTTATATGGAGATGCTGAAAAAGAATAGACCTGAGTTCTTTCCAGTAAATGACAATGTATGCTTATCCTCTATCCTCATGATGTGGCACGGTTCACATGTTTGTACGGAAGTTTTTCAAGTATCTGTTTAGATAAGTTTGTGAAGTATAAAGCACAGACTACAGAAAATTTCAAATATCCTGACAAAAGTTCTGTAAATCGTTACCCTAAATCCGTTGAGAAAATATATTTGTTCAATTACTATCTGGATAGCCGCAGGCAGCTTTAACTCAAACTATGACTCAATATTCCATATTATTGAATTTTATTTATTTATTTATTTATTTATTTATTTATTTATTTATTTATTTATTTATTTATTTTCAATTTCCAGATACAATATTGAGTCCTAGACTCAAAGTAGACCTAGCAGCGGCGGATCCAGGAATATTTGAAGGGGGTGGAAGTCCGAAACGACAGGCCTCGGATGCGAAGCCGACCGTCGACACCTTGGCCTGCTCATGGGCCCTGATTTTTTTTTTTTTTTTTTTTTTTTTTTTTTTTTTTTTTTTTAAGGGCAAAAAGTGGTACGGTTTAGAACTATATGATTCAAGCCAATAGTCCAAATTTTGATTTCAAGAGGGGAATATTAGTGTGGTGTATTTTTCAGAAAACGAAGGTGGGGTCAGGACGCCCCTGACCCCCCTCGAAATCCGCCACTGCCTAGGACTTACAACATTTACTGCATAAGGGTATGGTCAGAGCTCAGCGTGAAACCCAATTGTGGTAGGTGTGCCCGTGTTGTGCTATCATTTCGCCCAATTAGAAGCAGGCATTTAGTTTCTCCTTATGTATTCAAAATTGATTTCCGCTGACTCCAGGTAAACAGGGAAGTTTGTATCGACTCTTGTCTTAACTTTAACCGCGATAAGAATATTTGGATATTAGATGTTCCTGTTGGAAATATGTACCTTCTAATCACAAATCGAATGCTGTTGTCAGTTAAATGCATAGTAGAAAAGTGGATACATCAACAGGCACTCGATCCCTGTAAATTATGCAATCACTGTGTGATTTACCAGACACTTGAGATGATATATTGCAAATGAAGGGGAGAGGGGTCAAGAAAATATGAAGCAATTTTAGTGGGATTAAGAATTCGTAAAAGGGGATAGCATTTTGTATGACAGTATGAAAATTGTTTGGAGTTTATGATCAGTTGTTTACTACCAGTACTGTAAATCTGCCCCGTGTCTTTCATTTTGATCAAATTTGACACATTAACTTGTCAACTTTTTAGCAAGGTGTAAAATGGGTGACCACAAGAACGATTATGACATCCAGTTTGCACCATCTGCAACTCACAGTGAACTTCTGCAGAACATCCGGACAGCATTGCATGGACACCCCCCTTTGCTGACGAGAGAGTTTTCTGAGGTCAGTTCTAATGCGCCTCGAAACACTTCTGGTTGCAGTAAGGGTGATGCTGACTGCCAGCCTGCTAGAGTGAGAGTAATGCAGTGGAATCAGCTTGCTAGAGGTATAGAACCACATAAATAATAGAAGAGTTGTACTAATTTATTTATTAATTATTATTTTTTTTTTATTTTATTATATTTATTTATTTATTTTATTTTTTTTTTTTTTTTTTGCTTCCAGTGAAAAGTCTAATGAATAAAGTTTTACATTTGCAGTTATTTATATGTACCCATGCACAGGTAGGGAACATATATATATATATATATATATTTACCACTAGTTTTTCTTGGTTAAAGATATCTATACTTATACTGCTGTATTTCTTATTAAGGCCCTGACTCTACCCTATAACTAATACTTCTGATGTCTTAATATTGGTAGAAGTAAGTGCTGATTTCCCTTTTCTTTCAAGCCAGACTATTTGACAAAAAGCAAAATGCAATCATACTAGTAACTGATCATGATTTCTTCTTTTTTTCAGCCTTGTGTCAAGGTGACGATAACTTTGTCAAATGTCCCAAAGAAGCCTTTGACTGGAAATCTAGACGTTTGCACATCTTGGAGGAGATTTTACAGTATGAACCAGACATTGTTTGCTTGGAAGAAGTTGACCAGTTTGATTTTTTCAAGTCTGTTTTGGGTAGCATTTGTTATGAAGGGACATTTTTTCCAAAACCTGATTCCCCTTGTCTCAGTATGGAGGAATCCTATGGCCCAGACGGTTGTGCTATATTTTACAACACCAATAAACTAAGGTCAGTCAGTGTACAAAACTTTAATTTGAAAATGGGAAATAAATCCACCAATCAAGTAGCCATTATTCAGCAGCTGCAGTACTGTGATTCTAAAAACCCAAGATCAGCCCATGAATTTTACATAGGGGTTACCCATTTGAAATCTAAAGTGGGTTGGGAAGAGACGCGCCGTCTGCAGGGACAGAGTCTTTTGGAAGTCTTAATGGAAAAAGCAGGTAGTTCCCCTGTTATTCTGTGTGGAGATTTCAATGCTGTGCCAGAGGAACCTGTATATTCAGTCTTCAAAAATAGCCAGATGGGTTTTGACAGTGCATACACTAAACTAACAGGTGATGGTGTGGAGCCACTCTATACCACATGGAAAATCCGTGGAGGCAAGCACTCAGGAGAGGTCTGCAGAACCATTGACTATGTGTGGTACACTAAAGGCACTATAACTGTTGAGAAAGTGTTGAAGTTTCCAACTGGAGAAGAAATCGGCCCTGGAAGATTACCCAGTGTTACCTATCCTTCCGATCACTTGTCTTTGGTCTGTGACTTGAGTATACATTGAGCTTGACTAATGTATATATTAAGGAATTTTTAAAAAATTCTTTATATTTTTTTCTATGGACTAGTGTATTATATTAGGGAAGAAGTAAGTCCATTGCAAAATATAGAAAATACAACAACTTGGAGCCTGCTCTTTTGGCAACTCCAAAGATATCTATCTTAAATTTGTGAGGTTGTATTTATGCTAACTTTACAAACACTCCAATATTAAATACTGTTTTTATTTTATACCAATATATTTTTGCCATTTACATTAGACTTTACTTGGATTACCATGTTTGATATTATTTGGCATTTTTTAAAGGTTCCCCAAGGCCATACTAACATGGGCTTTAGTGTGAGTTTTGTCTTGTGATGTGATAATATTACTGCATTTACTCATAACTTGGTTGTTTGCTTTGTTTTGCCTCAATGTGTTAATTTTTTTTTACAATCCAGTGTTCCTAACTTGTCGATATGAAAATCACATACCAGTACATGAAGTCCAGTACTGGCTGTTAAACAGAATTCATGTAATGATCATTTTCTAATTTGTAATTATCATTTTCTTCTACGGTGTAGTAATGTGACATACTTTCAGGTTATTATTGCAGATATTTTCTGAAATAATGGATGAAAACCTAATTTAAAAATACAGCTATTAGTATGTAGTCAAGGATGTGAATGTTAAATCTGCTGTACATTTTTAAATTAAAATCACTCAAGGGCTCGCAGTAGCTTTTCTGCCTTGTGTTTCTTAGACATACTTTTTATGTGTGACATCGTTTTGCTTGATTATTCTCATATTTTTATACAAGATTTCACTTTTACAATTCCAGTTTTCTACAGGGAGGATCGGGCATTCTCAGATTCATTTATACTTACTTTACTCGGAGAATTATACTTGCCTTGTCTGCCAGATCCCCTTGTCTATTTTCCATTTATCTAATCATTTCAATAAATGATAACATTAATCTTAAGCAGTTAAACTTTTTTTTTTAATTATCAATATTGCTTAAAGTGAGATTTATGCATTTTAAGACAATTTTTGCATATTTATGCATTTTAAGACGCCTTATAAGCGACGCGTGCAGTATAGGCGTACATGCCTTTAAAAACTGATAGGTTCTTTAGAGAAAACAGGGTTATGGTTCATGACGAAAACCTTATTTTTATTAAATATTACATTTCTTTTTATTAATGTTTTCCTTGTGATAATTTTAGTTTTCTCTAAATAGTCAAATTTAAGATTGTGTAAATTATTACAAACATGTATATAGCCCAAGACAAGCCACATACGAATCAGTATACATATAGCACAGGCCCGTAGCCAGCAATTTCAAAGGGGGGGTTCTTTTTCTGAAAAAGTGGACCTTTTAACGAAAAATCCCCATGTACTTATGTCAAATTTTACCCAGAGTGGACCTTTTTCAGCACAAAAGGGGGGTTCTTTTGAACCCCCCGAACCCCCCC